GCCTACCAAAAAAAGTGAGTTCAACAAGGTCTAAGGATATCAGATCATGTAAAAATCTATCATTTCTATATCCTAACAACAAACGTGGGAACCAAAATTAAAGACAATACACTTACATTAACTACCATGGAAAACATGTACTTAGCTATAAATCAAACAGCATGTGTGGAATCCGCGTGCTGAAAACGGGAAAATGCTCATGAAAGAGAACAAAGGAGAGCTGAGCGATGGTCACAGACTGAGAGAGACAACGCGGTAAGAATGTCCCCTCTCCCCAACTGGATCTCAGTACGGTCATTTCTATCAAAACCCATTACGGGGTTTTGCATACAGACAGGGTGAAGATGTAATCTACACAGAAAAGCAAAGAGCTGCTGATATAACCTGGGTGAAGAAAGCTTCCTTCTGAACTGGGAGTGAGCGGTCTGTTTGAGGGCAGAACCCACCAAGCACCTACAGGGACGAAGATACCACGTAGTCGTGGCCGAGGGATGGATGGCACATCAGTCGATGGAAGGACATAGTTCAGAAACAGATCCACATAAGCGGTACCTGCTACTTTTTTATGAAGTCACAAAAAACGGTAAAAAGAGGAGAGCCTTTTCAATAAACAGCATTGAACAAGTGAACGTCCACAGGCAAAAAAGTGAATCCTGACTTAAACTTCACATACTATATAAAAATTAACTCAGACCTCAATGTAAAATGTAAAACTACAGAATCTTAGGAATAAAGGTAAGAGAAAATCTTAAGGACCTAAGGCTAGGTCAGTAGTTTTAGATTTGAAATCAAAAGCTTAACTCATAAAAGGAAAAATCAGTTTATCAAAATTAAAACCTTTGCTACACAGAAGTTCTACTAAGACGACTAGCTACAAAATGGAAGCAAGTTTTGCAAAGTGCACCCTTCACAAGGCACCAGAATATACAGGGTGAGGCAAAAGTCGGTTTACAGTGGTGCTTACGGGGAACGCAATTTATTCTTGCATTATTTTACATATGAACTGTAAACCTATTTTTGCCCCTCTCTGTATAACTAAAAATTCAACACTAAAAACCAGACATTTCACCAGAAACAATACACAGATGGCAAATAAGTGCATGAGAAGACACTCCACGCCGCTGCCATCAGGTTAAGTGGAGGTGGACCACGGCGAGGGAACACTGCAGGCTGGCAGGATGCATCAGACAACGGCGCCGACGCCCCCGCGGCTGGCAGTGAGGGAGACACTGGACCCTCGTTACTGCCCAGGGGAGTGTAAAACGCACAGCAACTCGAAAATGGTTCGGCAGTTTCTGAAAAAACCTAACAGGCACTATCATAGCACCCAGTGATTGCGCCTTTGGGCATTCAGCCCAAAGAAATGAAAACCTACATTCACATGAAAATCTGCGCCTGGATGTCGGTAGAGGCTTCATTCCCAACAGCCAGAAGTTTGGGAACGACCCAGGTGTCCCGTCACAGGTGTGGACACCTGTCCCATGGTATCCTAAGCAGCAAGAGAGAGAACGAAATGCTACCACTTGACCAGATCCCCAGGACATTCTGCTGGAGGGGGCCGAGTGTGCCTACAAGGGACAGCCGGAGGGCGCCTGTGTGACCAGGAGGCCTCTGCTCACGCAGAGCCACCCGTGTGGTCACGGGGCGCAGAGCTGCACTTCCCTACAAGCAAGCGCACGAGCACCAGCGAAGTCGGAGCACAGCCCAGGGGCCGCGCACGGCAGTGTCCCGCATCTGATGCTGTGTCGCAGGGGTGTGAGGTGCTGCTGGTGTGGGCAACTGGGCGCAGGGTGCACATGACCAGCCTTTTCTGGGGGAAGAAAAATTCCACGGAATCTATAATCATTTCAGAATAAAACTTGAAACACAAAAACCTTCCTACAAAGAAATCTCAGAGGCCCAGATAATCTCACTAGTGAATTTGATCAAATATTTAAGGAAAATATAATAGCCGTCTTACACACTTTCTGAAAATGAAAAAGGAATTCTTTCCAACTCATGAGAGGTAGCAAAACTCAACAAATTTATGAAAGAAAATTACAATCGTGATCAATGGATTAAACATTGCTAACAAAATAAATAGAGGAATGTATTTATAAACTTACAAACCACAAGCTGGACTGACTTAGGAATGAAAGGCTGATAAAAACTGCAAGGTTCAAGGGGTTTAATCACACCAACAGAAGGGTTCAAATCTGAATCTGATCAAGCCTTTGAAACAGAAACCCACTATCACCTAAAGAGAAATCGCAGTCCCTGCCTCTCACCCCAAAAACACAGGCGGGGAAGGGCATGTGAAGAGAGAATCTCTCATCACGCACACGGGCTCGGAGCTTTATCAGCGACTGGAAAACACACACACAAACCTGCTTGCAACTCAACGTTTTCACGCTTTGTTTTTATTAATGCTGTACTTCTACGAGTTCACATTTTAAAGATTTTAAAAATAACAATTTATCTTCATTATTATTTCTGGTAAGTTCTAATAGGATATTTTTGTAACATTAAAAATAAAAATATTTCAGTGATGTTTTACACTAGATGTTACACTGTTAATTTTTAATTGGAAAGTATTAAGAGTTTCAGAGTCTTTCATTTCAATGAATTCTGAATACTTTACATGAAATAAATACAAACCAAGATACCAATATTGCGACTTTTACCCTATTATAATCACTCTCTAATTCCCAATTAATGGTATACTCCATGTAATGAATTAGTATTTTCATACTTCTGTTGACAAACCTAAGATGCTGAATTTTGTCTAAAAGATTTCTTAAGATATCATTAACTATGGGAATGAGCCGGAAGCTATTATACCGTTATTTCACAAACTACTAGCTTGCCCTTCAGACCATGCATCACATGTGATCTTAAGATGTGTGTGAAGTAGGAATTACATTATAAAAGCTAGAAATAAAATCAAGACCTTCATTTTAAAAACCATTTCTCCATAAGGAACAGCACAAGACCTTCCCAGCTATTCTGGGGAGCACTGCGACACTGCAGAGCGCTAACCATCTGTGACCCACATCACAAACAGACGCTGCTGTGATATTCCTGTGACTCACGGGCGAGGTTTTCCTATCATCGCGTTACTTCAACCCTTTAACAAGTCACCTTTGAACCTTCAGGTACGCAGCAGAACATACATTCAAAACTACTGCTAAAAATGACCAAGTTTTGCTATGAAGGGGAAACACCAGTGACCTACAAAGTAAGAGAATGGAAAATACTATGAAATAACACAGCACATGCTCAGGTCTCAGAGCAGCAACCTCACAGGCGGCACCTCCTGCAGGCCTTCCGGCCTCGCCGCACCCGCAGGGCCTGCGGGGGCACCTGCCCCTTTCTCCGGCATCGACACTGGGAGAGGAGGCCTGTCTCTCTTGTGAGTGGACAGGTGACACAGAAAGAGGCAGGACAGAGGCAAGAGCGTCTGCTTGGAAGCCCATAAGACTGGGAATTCCTGCATCTTTCTGTGAGAACTGGGGGCTCCATTTCTTCAGGTGTAAAACAGAAGTACTAACATGCATCGTCACTTGCCACCGTGAGACATAAAAAAACCGTGCCGCAAAAGGTGCCTCATAGGAGGCAGCTGAGTAACAGCTCACAAATGGTAAAAAAGAAAAAGGGGGGGAGAGAAATATTTAGAGATGTTCTGTTTTCATCACCTTCTAACCTGCAATCAGCACATTCTAATCAGAACCACTAGGAATATTAGACGACTTCCACCCCGAATGCAGAAGAAAACATGCAACTTACATAGAACACTTCAGGAAGTAAATATTCAGGAACCACAATATTAACAATGAAACCTGGTGATTATATTCCAAAACCACTTGTAACTGCACAGACTGAGGACTGTGGCTGGGCCTAGCTTTTAAGCAACACCTAGAGGCAGGCGTGCGCACCAATCACATCCCTGTGGGGGTTACGCCTTCCCTGTCAGAATGAAGTGAACAGGAGGAGACGCACGGTAAGGGGCTAATACCCAAAACATACAAACAACTCACACCGTTAAATGGCAAACCACCCCCCAAAAAACAAAAAAAGGAAACCCAAACAAGCCAACTTAAAAACGGACAGAGGACCTGAACAGACACTTCTCCAAAGAGGGCATACAGATGCCAATAGACACGTGGAAAGATGCCCAACATCAGGAATCGCCAAGGAACTGCAAACCAAAACACACCTGTGAGAATGGCTATTACCAGAAAGACACTAAGCAACCAATGCCAGCGAGGATGAGAACGGGAAGCCCTCATGCACCGCTGGTGGGAACGCAGACTAGCGCAGCTCCTGCGGGACATGGCATGGAGAGTCCTCCAGGAATCAAAAACAGAGCTGCCATGAGACCCAGCGACCCCACTTCTGGGTATTCCTCCGATGAAAAACATTAATTCAAAGAGATGTGTGCACCCCTATGTTCACTGCATTATCTACAACAGCCAAGATACGGAAGCAGCATAGCTGTCCATCAAGAGGCAAACGAATAAAGAAAATTTGGTCCTTTTCACAATGGAGTACTAGTCGGCCATAAAAAACGCAATCTGGACCTTTGGGACAACATGGACCGGCCTAGACGGTCCAATGCTGAATTAGGTCAGACACATACTGTGCGATCTCACTCATGTGGAATCTAAAAAACAAAACTAACTTGCATAATAAACTCACAGAGAAAGAACAAACTGATGGTATCTAGAAGAGAAAGGGGATGGATAAGAAAGAGGAAGGGAACTACGTACAAATTTCCAGTTAAAAACAGCCACAGGGATGCAAAGTACAGCATGGGAACGCAGTCAAAACTATTCTCATAACCACACGTGCTGCCGGGCGGGCCCCAGACCTAGTGTGGCGGCCACTGTGTAAGTTACACAAATGTCTGACCCCTGGGTACACATGAAACTATTGTCGACTATTTAAACATGTCGACTATTTAAAAAACAACTAACAAAATGTTAGGGATTTAAAAAAAAAAAAAAAATTGAACACCTCACCTGATGAGAAGCGAGTCCCTGGAATAGCCACCATCGTATTCTGTAGTCTCTTCTAGTGCTTGGAAGTCGAGATTCTGCAAATTCAAAACAACGTCTTAGCGCCCTTGCTGCCGCGCCGACACGCACAGTGAGGCGGCGCGCGGCCCGGTGGCCTTACCCGGCTTCCGCAGATGAGCAGCTCAATCTCCTCAGGCCTGAATAAGTACTTCAAGGGAGATTCGTTGGTCACCATATGAAAGCCTCTCCGAAAAGCCTTGAACTGTTTTTCTACTGATTTATTGAGGATATAGTCAGAGTAGAGGTTGACAAATTCCTGCAGAAAACATGAACCACAAGAACTTCTTATATACTGTACCAAAAAAAAAATACAGCAAGCTAATGGGCTGCACAGGGTTTTTATATTTGTATTTATTTTCCCAAAGGAAAAGCATGCGAGAATATCTTTAAAATTCAAATTATATACAAAGGAAAACACCTTTAACAATTTCACAGCTCTCTGCAACAGCAATGTTAACCTCTAAACAGGCCATGTATAAACTACATGAAAGTTTCTATTCTGGTATTCCATGAAATAAGGCTACATAAAAAGGCTGGGCACCGACGGCACTCTGAGGCCCCGCCCACTAGGTGTGCAAACACCGGAGCTTGGGGGGGGGGGCGGGGGGCACTGTGCCAGCTCTGAGCAAACCCGGCCATCTCGTGGCTGCTCTTCTAGAATGTTTGGGAAGCTGCCTACTGTACCCATACCCAAATCGGCAAGCATCTTTGTGTTTTACTCAGCACATAAGCTATTACACCAAACCACAAGGGAAACAGACTTTTTACTCTTAGCGAGCATAGTATTTTATCAAAGACATATTTAAAGGTTAATTATATATTTATCATATTTGTCCTGCTATGTTCTGGGTTATTCCCTTGTTTCCAAAGCCTGGCTTTTCTAGTCAAGAGAAAACAAACGTGATTTAAAGAATGCCACACGTGTGCCCACTAAATGCCATCACCATGTGCATGGTGACAAGGACCTTTGCCCTGAGGCCCCGGGACACGAGAACACCTGGGCTTCCTGCTTGGAGTTTCAGCCCCACGGAGCCACGAGATACTCCTACCCCTCCCGTTCCCTTTCTCTCAAAGGGGTTTAGTGCTCAGCAGCTTGTACGTTGGTACACATCCCAGACTTAGAAACTGTGACTGTTGCATTTTCAAGAACTTAGTCACTTGACTTCTTGGGCCTTTGTGTAGACTGTATGAGATGCTCTTTTTAAAATGACAAGCGTTATGTTTCCAAATTCTGTTCAGAAAGAGACAAAAGCAATGATGTAAAAACATTTACTACCTTCCTGTTTTCGTTTGTAATTGGAATTTTATCACCATTTTCCTTTAGATCGTACATCATCGGATTACCAAAAAGGTCCGTCTGCGATATCTGGAAAGTGATCATCATATCGTCTTCCACATTGCCTTCATACTCCAATAAGTCTTTCAAGCTCTGATATAGAACCTGACAACCAGAAAGGGAAAATTAAGGTCACCACAGAACTACAAAATATAACTGTAATAACACTTCTTGGAAGAGGGGGGGAAAGTTTGCCACTGAGAATTCAAACATAAATAGCAGCCCCCCTACCCCCCAAGGAGTTGACAACATAGGAACTAAAGGCTCTGTCGCTGGTCTCTGCCGAGACGCCCCCTACCCAGTTCAGCCACGTCCCCACTGCGCTCTCAAGAGGCCCGGTCGGGGAGGACTGGGGAAGAGGGACAGACACACTAACTGTAGCCACCCTGCCCCTTACTCAGAGCGCGGCCCTGATTTCACCTGGCAATCTCATATGATTTCATTAAAAAGCATCATGTTTAAAAACACTTTATACAGGATCAGTCTCGGAAAACGTGCTTGCTGACAGCAATATATTGAAATACACCAAAAATTTCCCCTCTGAGGCTGGAACAGTGTTCATGGGACTTCAGACTGATTCAAACACTCAATCTTACTGGGTGTAAGTAGGAACAAAGATCCCAAACGAAAAAACTTACAGGGTGAGAGTCTCCCAAGTCACGGAAAGTTCCTTTCTTCCCCATTAGCTTCCTGTAGACAACCATGGGAAAATGCACATCCAGTATACAGTTATTGTAAATTGCCAGACCCAGGACTATGCCAATCAGAGTGAACTGACCCTCAGTTTCAAAAGAGGATGGATTAAACCAAAACAATTTTGTAGATTCATCATATGTGAACATACCTATAAGAAATGATTTTTAAAAATACATTACTCTTATATTTTATTAAAGGCTGATGAACAATACAATATAAAGTAATTACACAAATGAACGTCTATGTAATAGGCATACACAAAATTTTTCTCTATTAGCACTTGAGAAACCAAAGTTCACATATAACGCGATCATAAGCTGTGGCAGAGGTAGTGCTGTGTATATTTTAAGGAACCCAAGGAAACAGTAATAAGCAATTTTTGTGGCATTTTCCAAGAAGTTTAGGAAATGTTCATTAAATTCAAGTTCTCTAATCTAACACAAATGAAGTTAATTTGCATCCATACATTATCCACCAAATGGCTGAAAAATTAAAGCAAAAAAAGGTTATATTTTGAAATTTTCACTAATAAAAACATATTAATTCATATGAACTGTTTTAAAAAACCATTTTGGATTTAAGGAAAAGTTCTGTGTTTTTCAAAATTGTACAATGGCCCCATGAAATATTTCTAGCACCTTTCTAACCAAGTCAGACGATGCCAAGTACATAAATTTAGATAAATTTGATAAACTTAGATTGTGGCCAAAACTCAAAGCTGTTTGATACACATACTAATTGTGAGCCAACAAGTGAAAGAGAAGTAGTTTGTATTTGCAGTCTTCTCTTAGTTTCTTACGGTTTTCACTAATCAAAACCCAAGCTTGGAGATGTATTTTTTTGTGTTGCTCATTTAAAAATAGAAATCTTTGGCTTTACTTATCTAAATAACCATTATTACTAAGGCAGAATTGTCTTCTTCCTTTTAGATGAACATCTAAGTAAAAGGTTAAACAATCTTATGATTGAATTTATACCTTTTTCATTTTACTAACGTGTTTTTCAGTTGCTACTTGAAAACTAACTAAAAGTAGTTTAAGAATTAGATCTGAAAAGGGGGGATTTCAAATAGAGCTTTAGAAATCAATACAGCACCCAAATAAATCAATTAAGATTTTTAAAAGCTTAAAGATACTCATTTTCATTTAGTTTGAGTTAAAGATTAAAGGAACTTTAAGATGTTTCCTAGATCATACGAGCATAAATTAAGCTAGGACATTTTCCTAATGCAATTTAATGTTCATGAAATAACAGTTTGAATAGTATCCAACTTGTACTTGAATTTCAGCTCATATTTAAACTTTTCACAGGCCTAAATTACAACATACATTGGAGCACTAACAGCTTCGTTTAGTTTTTAACACAGTATTAAGAGGGTCAAAACCAGTCCAAGATAATTACAGTTAATAAATTTGATGAAACTTCACAAATGTAAGCCTGGTATCAAAAGCAACACAGTACAAATTAATTATAATATACATGACGGAAGTGAACCCCTATCTCTGGGTCTGAAAGATACTTGGAAGTACAAGGAGATTCCACTTTGGACACATTTTTTTTCAGGTTCCAGGAAAAACAACATATACAAAGGGCATGGCTCTTCTAAAACTTTTTATGCTATTTCTCTGCCATCATTTCAGTAACCTTCCATCAAGTTGAAATGTGTAAGGTACATTTTTCCTTAGGAGTATTTCTACATATAATGTAAATATGTTTTATAGCTAATGTTTAACATTCTAGATACATCAGAGCCTAGTGCTAAGGTTTACCAAACTTATGAAGCTTATAAACCAACTCTCTGTCTGAGAAAATGGTGTCTTGGTTCCCTTGGAACAAATTCCATACAAATGACATAACCTTCTGATTATCGATTAGCATGAGCTAGAATATACAGTCTTACCATAATGAACTCGAAGTGTCTTAAGGCCCCTCACTTTTGTATGTATATATTATGACCCACCAAGAACAGTAACAGAGAAGTCAGTTCAAACTGAGAATCAACAGCTTGTAGGAAATTGTCTGCGTAACCCTGCGCCCTGTTCTTCACAATTTGCAAGGCACCTTTATTGGCCATTTTCCTACATGTCACGCCTTCCATTTTCAAAGTGAGCAAGCCCAGTGAGCGGTGGCTCCACCGTAGAACCGGAATCTGTCAGAATCAGCCCGCGCCCAGGCCTGCCGCTGCCTGTTGCGCTCCGCCCCCGCCCACCCGGGAAATTCAAATTCCTCAACATGTGGACTGGACTCTCCCTGTTCAGTGAGCTCTCTCCTGGGAGGCAAGTGTTACCAGATGCAGGGGAGAGAAAGGCTTCTGGAGCCCAGAAAGTGCGGAAACCTGTCGTAAATACCCCCCCGGGAGCTGGGGGGGGGCTCTCAGCCAGTGCTCCCCACTCCGGCGCGACACCCTGGACTACAGGTCCTCAGTCGTGCGGACCGCGGCTCTAGGACACGCCTGTTTTAGAAATGCTGTGAGTTTGATGAATGTTTCCGACTCAGAAGAGCCAAGAAAGACTCTAAATGTACCCTAAAGTTCTGAATTTTATTTACCTACGAGATAATCTCCTCCTCAAATATTTGCCTAAGTAATTCAAATAAGAACTTGAATAAATGAGCGATGTAAATTAGTCCCGGGAACCCACAAATTCGGTCAGTGTTTGCGATCCTAGTAATCCACACCCACACCATCTTCTGCTGCGCTTCGTTACCTGAGCGCATTTATGAGCCTAGGGAAACAAATTCTTCATTCAAAAAAAAAAAAAGGGGCGCCATGACACATCACTGAAATATTTACCAATATCCGGATTGAAGATTTCTTCCACAACGAGCTGAAAAAATTCTTTGGAAACACCTCCCTCATCAACTCCTTGTTCTCCTTCGAACTCCACGTACAGCTGTTTCTTCAGGTCTGCCGGGTTTTCCATGGCGATCATCTCTAGCTAGGGAGTGATGAGACAAAGCGAAAAGAAGGTGACTGCCACTACTAGGATAAAAGCAGGACAAAAACCCGGGGAAGCAAAAGAAACACAAGAAGCAGGGCCAGGGAGCAGATAACGTTCCTGACTTTTGGTTTAACTGGGAAAAAAAAAGCAAAATGGTAAAAACTCAGTTAAGACAAAGATGTAGTCTGAAAGATGGAAAAATAGGACAGAAAAGAAATGGTATAGACTCTTAAAAGGGTTCCCTTCTAAGTACTGATTTCTTAGGAAATTAGCATATAGTAGAAAATCAGAGTTAGATTCTCTGTTACTTGTGCATGAGAAAGCTGCATTATAGGGTTAGGACACAGAAGTCAGCAAAACTCGTTAAGTGACTAAACAAAATCATTTCAGCAAAACTCAATGTAGATGTCTGACTTCAAAATCGTTCACTACATAGTTTATTAGAAAAAAAACAAGAATTAAGTTTTAATATCTATTAAGCCATAAATAAAATAATTTCAATTAAGAATGACTAGGAAGCCACTGATGATCTCTTACAATAAGGCACAGTATAAATTACTGGTTTTTAATGGATTTGAACACATTTTGCAACCACTTGCTCCTATCCTTCCTCTTAATTTTTTGCAAGTTATCAAAGTCTACTTTCCACCATTTCGACTATAAATCTTTGCCAATTATTTCCTTGTAGAATAATGAATATACATAGTGATTTGTCATTATGAGATGATGCCTCAAATGCTCTAGATTCTAATGTGAAATATTTATACTGCAATTTATGGGTCTAAAATTTACTAATGGCACGCCTGACTGATCATCATCCACCTTATTTACTAAATTAACTTTAAATGCCTTCTGCTTGTTTAAAAATTTTTTTAATTTGCCAAAACAGAATATTTAAGGGTGCTCAGATTTATTGGCAACTATCCCAGATAGAATTTTTAAAGTATTTTTGAGCAATGTAAATATCATTGGAATAAACTGTATTATAGTCCTATAGTAACTCATTTAAATTATCAGCACTAGTTTGGACATTCTAGTGTTATCTATAAATATATATACTTATTTTTTATATATATAAAAATATGAGTCAGGTCAGTTGCCCTAGATCAATGTGTCTCAAAGTGCCAACAGCAGCCCGGAGCAGGTGGTCCAACCCCCTCAGTGGTTGGCTGCCAGCAACGGGCAGATCAGAACGCATGGCACACGGCAGCAGGACCCACTGTTCCCCGCCTCAGCTCCGGTCTCCGTGGGGCCAGCCTCCGACATCGCCGCAGAGCCCGTGCCGAGCCGCCCCCGCCAGCCCCCACCCGTCCAGGCGCTAAAGGGTGTGAGCGGACGTTCACACACGCCCTTCCACCCTCACCGCCACGCATTAGATGTCACGCACTCCAAGGTGACCAAAATGGTCCTCCAACTCCCACAGGAAGCTTCCTCCAGCTCTTCCTCATTCTCACTCACAAGTGAGAGCTGACGTCTGTGCTGTGACCAAGGACCATGTAAAGGACGTGGTGGGGACTTTCTGGGATTCAGAGGTCCTGTGGTCCAGACTGCCCTCTGCCTGAGGCACTTCATGTGACAACGAAAGCCAACTGCCCCCTCAGTCTTAGTCACGTCTGCACACCCCCGCTGACCCCAGGGCCTCTCCACCTTAGTGCCAACAGGGTTCAGGGCAGTGCCTTCTAGTCCTACAGTAACTTTGAACATGGTTTTCTCTTTGCTTTCGTGTTAACTATAAAATGAGCATAATTATATATTAAGTTGCTACATGAAGCACTTGGAAGAATTCCCTGCACAGCGTCTCGTAAGAATTAGCTCTCATTATTGTTACTTTCATTTTAATGGCTCTAAAATGCTTTTCAGGCTCAACTGAAAACGTAATGACTCAGGCACGAGTATGAAAAGATCCCAGGAAAACCAATACAATAGTATGCAGCATCCGCATGCCACGCACTGTCCCAAGCACTTCACGTATGTCGCCTCATAGAATTTTCACAACCGCCTTATGAGGTCGGCGATACTATTCACCCCGTTTGGGAGACGGAGGTTCAGTAACTTGCCCAAGTCGGAGCCAATAAGCGGAAGAACAGAGACGGACTCCGGCGGCCAGCGGGAGCCCCCGAACGTCGCTGCCTCGCGCTGGCGCGAGCAGTCTTTGTTCAAGTTATGAATGATTTTCATTTTCTTCTGTATGCTTTCCTGTATTTTAAATTTTTTACAATAATTATATATTACTTTTAGAATTGGGATTATTCAAACGCAAGTATGTAAAAAGAATGATTTGAAAAACTGGCAACAGCTGAATTCTGCAGGTGAGAATTTCCCATTATGATCTATTTTACAGTATCACTCTCAGAAATAAGTGGGTCTGTAAAATACTACATCATTTACATATCCATGGGTAGCCTATCTTTAAAAAAAATTACTTTTAGCCCTGGCTGGTGTGGCTCAGTGGACTGAGCACCAGCCTGCGAACCAAAGGGTCGCCGGTTTGATTCACAGTCAAGGGCACGTGCCTGGGTTGCGGGCCGGGTCCCCGGTGGGGGAGGCTGGTGAGAGGCAACCACACACTGAAGTTTCTCTCCCTCTCCCCCTCCCTTTCCCTCTGTAAAAAAAAAAAAGTATTTTTAAAAAATTATTTTTAATTGTGGTAACAAATACCATAAAATTTAGCAACAAGCATTTCGGCAAAGGCCATTATTATGTAAGAGACTGCATTTATTTTTATTTTTCAACCCACTGGAATAACCACTTTCAACCCATTGTTCAATTAGAGATTAAAGAATTAAATTGCAAAGGTTATCAATGTATCACTTTATGTAATAAATACATACAATTTAAAACGTTCTTTAAAATTAAAAGCTGTCTCAAATGCAGTATATCCAGAAATTGGAAAAATGTCAATGAACTTTCTGAAAAAGAGAATCTGTGTGCTTTCTTGAACTGAATTCATTTAATGCAGAGACCTAGAATTTCATATACAGAATTTCTTAAGAGTTGGGAATACTTTATATTAACTTAATAGGGAGACTGGCAAAAGACAGACTGCTGGGGAAAACCAGAAAAGTAGGCAGGATGTAATGACAACTACGTCTTCCTTGTATGACTTCCTCTCCATTCTAAGACTCCTGATTCCATCACTTGTTGGACAAAATGATTTTTAATTTCTGAGTATTTAATTCGCCGTGATGATGAAATCATCCACCGATTCCACCTCCCAGTCAGTTTTTTGAAACTGACATGGTATCAAAGCACTCCCAGAATCAGGTAGAGGATGGTAGCTCAATATAAAAAGACACTTGCCATGTTTACAAGAGTCAAAAGGAAAACCCCAACTTTTAAAATCGTACAGTACTCTGGGCTACTATGCATGTCAAATCCATCCTCATTCAGTTGGGGAAAAAAATTCCTCAACGACACAGAGGTTTCAGCGTGCAGTCCAACACAGTGGACGTCTCTAAGTGAGACGCGGGGAGACCTGGGATCCCTAGGGACGGCTGGGCGACCGCACCTCAGTCGCATGCTGGACCTGAGACCCTACAGTCAAGCGCTCTGCTTGTGAGGATGCTTACGCTGCTGACCAGCACAGGATTTTTAGACTGTCCAGATGCATTTGATTTTTTTGTTCTCTATGAAGCAGAGTTTTTTTTATATCTTAAATCCCTGAGCTCTTCCAATTCTGCCATTAATTTCTGCAGGCCAGAACCTCCAAGTTTCGTTTTTCCTCATTTGTAATACTAAGGAGTCTGATGAGTTTCATTGTGCTAAATTATTATGTGGTACTGTGAGTCTCTGCAGATCTAGTTCATTCTCTTATTCTACTTTGTGGACATAGATCAGGCATGAAGTTCATTTCATGTGAGCAACAGTAACGGCCACTGCATTAAGCACAGTATAGAGACTATGTAAGACGACCGACCATGCCCCAAGCAGCACTGGATGATCTTATTCTTCAGGCACTGTGGGCAGACTGATAAATAAAGGGACCAAGTGTCGTTTTCGACGACAACTAGGGGTGCCTGCTTGCCAAGCAATGCACTGGGGCGGGGCAAGCGATTCAGAGAGAGAGAGAGCGGAGCCCCTTGGCAGGGCTTCGCGTGTGTGTCCGTCACCTTTATCTGCTCTGGTTCCTATTGGACTTCCCTACCGATTCCACCTCCCCGTCACTTCCTTTGGCCTGTAATCTCTACTCCAAATTCTGAGTTCCTGGCTCATCTGCACTGAGCCTCATGCCACCGGGAACCCGCGCTCGCAGCCTGTGGTCCTCAGTTGCCCTCTGCAAGCCTGCCGGTTTCCTAACCGTGTCCTTGTGTGTAAGAAAAGCCTCAGGAAACACATACATGTAAACTGTACCAACAGCCCTCGCCCAAGCACGGCTTTGCAGTCTGGCGCGCTCAGAAAACCAGCGGGACGGCCCGAAGTGCGGATTCCTAGGCCCCGCGCCAGAGCTCCTGATGTGTCTACAGGGTAGAACCTTGGGTTTTTGTTGTTTTTTTTTGTTTTTGTTTTTGTTTTTGTTTTTTAACAAATTTCTGCTTCAGATGTGAAGGGGGCCGGGGCGCCTCACACATGGCAACCACCACCCTCTCCCAAGACACTCGCACCCTCAGTCTCCCAGCATAAAAAGCAATTTAAGAAAGTTGTGGGGGTTTTTTTACACGCTATTTCCCTTGAGAATGTTTTGTCTAAGAAAAATGACTGCTTTTGAAAGAGCACACAAACAGATGAATGTTATTACAGGGAGCAGAACACGGTAAAAACCTCATGACCCTAGGATGTTTTCATGCAATGGAAGCTGAGCTCTGAGCTGTACTGTTTATCACTGTACTGTTTCTTAAGAAACAGCGATAAAGAAATAGTGAAAATAAGTCGTTGGGGGAAGTAAATGCGGTAACTTCAGGGTGTGGGGTAGGTCTTACATGTCTCCTTGCGGAGACAACTTGTATTTTATATTTCACCGATTCTAAAATTCACTTTTCTGCTTTCACATTTTAACATCTCTGAAATCAGGACTTGCCATACAGTTGACGGCATCTTACAACTAATTGACAGCATTTTTTTCCTGTTTTTAGTAGTAATAAAATGTCCTAAAAATTAACAGTATGTCCCACAATCAATGTTATCGTAGGTTCAACAAAATATTGCAAAAACACTAATTCTTCTGTTGCCATCAAAGACAGCTCCTCTAGGAACTCCAGTTAGGAAACAATTTGCTGCATCGTACCTGAAAGCAGGGAACGTATTTCTCTTCAAAACCAGAACAAAACACAACAAAAACAACTCTGTACTTACTCATTGAAGTTACCACCCATCCCTCTTCTTCCACGCTCGTCAGTACCGTGAATAACTGAGAAAGAAGAGCCAACGGCAAGTGCTCTCAGGGGTATCATGTATGTATGTGGTGACTATTCTCTGGGCCTCATTTAAGAACGAACGATGAATGCGTGAGTTCCAAGGACCCTCTCAGCTCCTGCCCCCGGCGACCCTGTAGCGCACTACGTCATCAGTACTGAGCTCACCGCAAAGCTGCTCATTTCCTCTTGCTTCCCGACCCCACTCCACAGTTCAAAATGAACCGACCCTATGAAAGTGGTCAATGGATTTATTTTGTTTGCCAAACTGTGGTATAAAACAAAGAATGAGGCTTTAAAATAGCCAAGGAGATCCTTAGGGACTAAGATGTTTAAAATCCACCAGTACTTTTGATGGTCCACCTGAGACGATGATCTTCAACTACTCTTTGCTGCTAAAATACTATGACTTAATTACCTGCTATATTAAAAAAAAAAAAGCAATTATCAATTTGACTCCCAAGGTCTATTGTGATGCTTATTTTCTAATCTTTTCACCTTGTGTTATTTAAAAAAAAAAAGAAGAAGACGACGAAGACGACTGGAAGGGAGGGGGCTGGTCAGGAACAGAGTCTGCCGAGCCTCAGCCAGGAAGCCCAGGAGGCCCGCGGTGGTCCCGGGCCATCCGCAGGACAGCTCTGCTGCTCAGCAAGCTGCCCCCCGCCGGGGACTGACCGGGGGACTCACTGGAGGACCGGTCACGTTCAAGTTCGGAGGTGTCTGGTGCACACTGATACGTAACAGGTCAAATCACACTCAGTTTTGACATAATTAAGTAGAACTCATTTTAAAAAATAACCTGTTTCCATTTATTTAAAAGCTCTCAGTTCATTTTACCCTAGCGCCTGCTTAAAAAGGAAGGCCTTATAAACCAAAATGGGCTGCTTCCTCAAAACCCTAGAAAATAATTTAAAAAACAGGCTAAGTACACAAAAAGTACCCAAACTCTGGTAGGTTCTTCGCCTTGCTTTACTAGGGGAAGGAAAACAAGCCCGAGTAGATGTTTAAGCAGAAAGCAAATTTAAAAAGTGGACAATTCCCTTAACCTCTGGGTTGAATCTCGCAGAGAGTACTGTCATTGCTTTTGCGAGGGCAGGCACAGGCGTGGCTGGAAACAAGGGACAGGATCCCGCCCCCAGAAGGCGAACCCACGGCGTGGGATCTGGGGCGTGCGTGCCTGCTCTACCAGCGGGGACTACGGGACCCTGTATGCTCCCCAAAGTACGCCACTCCCGGCCAGACGGGCTGGACCGTGTAAAATAAGCTGCCTGGTGATGAGTCATCACGTGCATTTTACTACGGAGGCTCAAACGACCGGAATGACATGAAAGGGGCAGCAGGAAGTAAGCAAGGGTCGCTCCTCGGAAGGCGCCTTTCATCTCTGCTGAAAACTGCGGGAGTTGCTTAGATAACATAGGATCCTTCTTCAGTACGATCAATCGACGTATTTGGTATTTTTAAAAAATGGTAACAGAGAACAGTAACAAAGGAAAACTCTGCAACTTAAATTTCTGAGATGCAGAACAATTTCTTCTACTGGTTTCCAATTTAATGAATTCTCAGGTTTAGACAAACCCTTATATAAAACTAAAATACATTTTAAAGTTAAGTGTCACTACTTCCTAGCTGTCCATGTCACGGGGTTCTTCTCCTCTGTTAGTGTAGAAGGCTGATTGTTTCTAGTTTTACTTGGCATTCAATTTTACCTGAAATTGATGAAAAAAAAGTAGCAATGCCAGGTGTATGTACTACGATGAACATAAAACTCTGTGACCAAGGACCCTATGAGAAGTGGTTTGTTTTCTGGCCAGGCCCGCCTTCTTAAATGGGGGCACCAAAATCCTTCTTTTCTGTGGAGGGAAGAAACGAGCGAGGAAACCCCTGTGGAGCCCCAGGGCGCGGGAAGGCGGGTACTTGCATTCCCAGGCCTCTCCCCGCTCAGCCTCCCTGGACGGGGCTGATGGTAGTAACTGGCACCGGAAACTGCAAGATTCCTGAAATAGCTGCTGTTTTCCCACGAGTCCTACCAACCCCGGGGTCCAGAGGGGTCCCTGTGGGTGTTTAAGAGGGAAGAAACGACCCCCGCCGGGCAGCGTCACAGAGGGACGCTGGGAGTGACCGGGCAGGAAGCCTTGCTGGCAGCACGCGGGACCCGCACGGGAGGACAGCGCGCGCCACGTCAGGCCGTGGGTTCCCTGCGCACCTCTCCCAGGTGGCACTGGGCAGTCGTCCTCACGGCCGGCTCTCTCCGCATCCCCCAGCTCCTGGGCTCCGGTCCCTCCCTAACATCCACTTCTCTCCTCAACGGAGAGACTTTTGGGGTTAATTGTCAAGATTTAGAAAATCTATTCTTTTTCAAAGACAAGGGGATCAATATAAAAGACAACTAATGCTTTGTGGAACACGCCAATTAATAGGCCCGACAGAAACAACAAACGTATAATACTACCATTTACAATTAAGAAAAGGTCCCAAGGAGACCTGACTTGAGAAGGTGAACACACACTATGTAGATGAGGTATTACAGATTGGTGCCCCTGAAACCTATATAACTCCATTACCAGTGTCACCCCAATGAATTCAAGAACAAAGCAAAAGCAGTTAGGTCCACGTGTTCCCATGTGACCTGATGCCCCGCCCCCACCCGGGGTCCCTTGCGCAACGGAGCCCCTGAACTGTTGCCACGATGCTCCGACCTAGCGCCCCCTCGCGAACAGCAGCCCGACTCACCCGGACAAGCGCGTCGTCTATGATGTGGTCACGTCTGACTTTAAGTCTCAAGTACGGGTTCAGCTGCTGGCCCTGCACTAGGCTGTAGAGGACAGTGATTCTTCGCTCGCTGTACATGCGGATTCTGTTGTCATAGTACAGCCCCAGATTCTTCGTGACAGCGTTCAAGATAAAGGGGCATGTCATGAAAGAGAATTTGTTCTCTGTCTCTACTTTGAAAAAGGTGTAATCTTTATCCATTTCTAGAACGTCATTCAGTGGTTCGTTAATAAACTCCTCGAAGGGGATGAGTGGTTTCCGGCAGTCCAGCGTCTTCACGCCCAGCTCCGTCTCCAGCGGGTCCACCCGGGGGCCCTTCTTGTTCCTCCTCTCCTCCCCCAGGAGCTCCTGGAGCGTCAGCTCGCTGGACTCGGGCATGGGCTCCTCGTCGTCGTCCTCGTTGTGGTTTGTGTCCACCTCCCCTCCCACGACGTTTGCATAGTAAACCATTTTCAAGCACTTTGAAGCAGCAACGATGGCATCGTCGTCATTAACTAGATTTCTCTCGTTCCCTAGATTCCGATTGTTAAATTCATTGCTTATGACTTTGTAAGTGATGAGCTGCTGAAACGTTTCCATCATTCTCCGAATCTGGTCGGCACTGTACTTAGACCACAGTCTGATCAGTTTTCCTTGGGCTGCGAGGGGCAGCTTGCTCATTGCTTTGCAAAATAATGGCAACGCCATTTCCAGATATTCAGGGCTGTGGAGATTTCTGTTCTCCATCACAATGATGAACAGATTCAGGTAATTAGGGTCTCGGGAGTACACATTGTGATAGGTCAAGTCACATTCCACGTTAGGTGACAAATACACAAGTGCATTGAGAAAGGCAGTTTCTATTTTTTCGTTAGAGAGCAACCTGGTGTAGACCCTTCTAATGGCCTCGATATCCACAGACACGTCCTCAGGGCCTAACTTCTGCACGTTCTCGCCTTGGGAGCTGTCGCCTATCCTTGAGGAGGACGCTTCTGAATCTTCTTCCATAGCAGCGGCCGAACACGCGGCCTTTTCCTTTTCATCCTCATCTTTGTCTTCGTCCTTCCCCTGGAGAGATTTGAGCTCCTCCTTGGTGTGCTGCTTGACCTTCCGGAAGCTCTGCACCAACGCCTCGGCACTCGAAAACACCCTCCCGATGACACGGATCAGAGGCGAGTAATCCTCTCTCTCTCTGCATAATTCCAGGATTTCATACACTATATCTTCTGTTAGGTAAGTCACATCTAAAAAAATTCGGGGGAAAGAGAGAACATTTGTTTTCAGAATCTCTGTTGTGTTTGCTTTGTTCTGGTTAAGTTCTAGTGAAAAGTAAAAGAGCCAAACATTTTGCATTCAATACCATTTAAAACTTTCAACTCTTTTAAAAAAAAGTATCTCATACGCACAGGCAACACAATATTATGCTTACCTGTTCTTTCATAAACCACAAATAGCAACCTCACCCATCTTTTACCTTCTTTCACTAACACAAAGCATGTAGTGAGCGCAAATGCTTTCATACTCACTCCCGCCCCCCCTCCACACACACAAACACACAAGCCTAGAACATCATGTGCGGACCCACAACGAGACACCCCTTACCACCTCGCTCCCCGGCAGGACACCTCGTTGCCTTCATGCCTCTGCGCTCAGGACCGAGAAGGCGCGGCCTGGGGAAAGGGCCCCCCAGCTTCCTCTGTTAGAAGCAGTTCGTCCAGCTTTCCTGCGCAGTGAGACCTAGCTACTTCCTTCCAAGCCTCTTTTCAGTTCCTTCCAGGTAGACATTCCGTGGGAGACTGAGAAGTAGTAACAAACCGTTCCTATAAGCTCCGAGGCTGAGGGATGCAGCCATCAGGCTGGCATCAAGCTCACAGCGTGCCAGGAAAGGGTTAAGTACATGGGAGGGCGGCAGCTTGGGCGCAGACCAGTGCGGCAGAGTTCTAACTTCCCCCCTCCCTGGGCCCCGCGCTGGCCCACTCTCCTGGCCTTTTGAGACAGGCGCTCCTTGCCCACCCAGCCTTCGTCCCGCGGGCTAACGGGATGGCGCGCCCGAGGCTCTGGCGGCCACGGGATGAACAGGACAGGGCGCTAAGGCTGCGCCCGCGTGCCTGGGAAGCACAGCGCACTGTCAACTGCAGCCAGGTGGCTGTTGGGTGACCTGCTGAGAGGCTATAGAACCTCCAATGACCCACCACCAGACCTCACACTCAGCTGACCGAGTGGGGGCTACAGTCAATGCAAGGCAGTGCACACAAGAGTTGTATGTGCTGAGTTACACTAGTTCAGTTTACATGGATCTGTCAACCTGAAGCGCACGGCCACAAGGAAGACGGCCCAGCCCTCTGTCCCCTGACCCGCACAGCTGCCTGCAATTGGCTATGCAGCACACGCCACACTCAGTACCTGCCGCCTGGGGCGCACATGTGCTCAGGAAACGGGTGTAACGGGGTCAACTTCCCCGGCACAGGCACAGATATCGACAACCTCCACCTCCTTACCCTCAGTGTGGGAGCTAATTCATGGAACAGAACTATACATTTTAGAGCAATAAAACTGTCTAAAGTTATGAAAACAGCTTTATTGTGTCAAGAATATGAGCTCTAATGCAATTCCATTTCAGTAATTAGTTTAAACTTGACTCACAACGTTACTGGAAGCATTAGTGGTGCTAACGGCCGTCTGTGCCCCAAACAGAAGCTTCCTCTTCTGAAGCACGACCCCCCTGGGGGGCCTGCGCCCTGTCGGTCACTCGGAAGCTCGACTGTCTCATTCCTAACACTGATCACCCTCGCTGAGGGAAAGAGAGCTTGGGGTTGAGGATTTAAAGGAAAAAAAGAAGAGGTTTCAACAATTTGGGAATACGGGGCCATTTCGAAAACAAACCAAGGCTTGGGTAGAGACAGCGGGAGTGAGCCGGAGCACCCGGGGGGAGGCGAGCGGAATGTGGGACAAATGTGCTAGAAGGAAAAAGACTATTTCCCCGGGAGCCATCATGGACTCTCCTTGCCTCAGACACGGAGGACCACCCTCCCCTTTCCTTTCTGCTCTCCTGCCGCCCGGGGCTGGAGCCGCACAGCTCCCGCCAGACACTTCGTCCAGCTGCTCCAGGAGGTTAACCGCCGCTTGATACGCGTTTCCTAGCGGAAAATGTCTCAAAGTTCCCACAAATCCATTAACAAAGAAATGGCTTCTAACGAGAAACCATCAGAACGGTGAGACGTAGTTAAATCACTGACTCAATTATGTCTTTTACCACCATTGAAGGAACTGGCTCCACTCTGCCACCGTGTCCCCAAGTCACACGACTAGACAAGACACACAAGCAAAGCCCTCACACAGTGCTGAAACCGGCAGTCGGGTTTGCAGCCACAAAGCCTCCATGAGAAATAGAGCCTCTTACCTTTAAAATCGTTCCTTGCTGCTAGTCCGTCCTTCTTGTTCATTTTTATGTCTGAGCAGGAGTTGGCGGCGCCCTTCGAGTTTTCGAGGTAAGCCGAGCTTGCTCCTTTCTTGGAGGGATGAGGATCACAGAGTTTTGCATTAATCTTATAAAGCTCGAGGGCTTTGATAGCCGCTGCATTGTTATCCATACGGAGGAAAGATGGACAGGACGCACAAAACTCATTCGTGCAGGCCTCATTCCCACAGCCCTCGGTTAACTGGTGGTAGTAGCGTTCTATTAGGTGCTTTGCAGCTGCTCGCTTCCTGTCCGGACAGTCAAACAACAAGCACAGTGGTTAGTGCGCCGCCCGGGGCGCGGCTCTGCGGCTGGCAGCAGGTTAGTCAAGCACCTGCCCGCTCCGGTGAGGCGCAGAGCCGACACCTACCGACTCTGGGCTCTCTGAACCGGCGAGCTACCGGGTTGTTCCTAAGGCGCTACGATAGAGTATCGATGCTGATCAAAACCGTTTTAACAGACTATGCTTTCCTTTGGCTTAAAAGGGTTGTTTGATGGTAAACGGGGTTAAACTGGTTATCCTAACAGGGGAAAATCACAAGGTTTATGGCTAAAACTTTTAGTATCTTACCACTTTAAAAATTAAAATTAGGACAAGGAGAGTCTATTCCAAGTGTCAATCCAGCTTTCCTTTATATAACCACCATTCTAGTGCAACAGTTTGTAAGATACCGGCTTCATAGTTAACAAAACTTCTATCTGGCAGAAAACATGCTTCCCCTCCCTATTATCTCCCAAATAGGGGGATTTAAAAGTAAATTTATAAATGAAATGTCCAATGCTGTGTTATCATACAACTTTGAACCAAAAAAAAGTGTTGTTAGAACATCCTCATTAATCTGACATCATAGGAACACAAACTATCTTACATTCCTTGTACTTTGTGAACTTAAAGCAGCAAATTAACGCTCCATCACTGTTGTTCCAGCAGAGCCAGCAACGACAGCGAAGAAGGGACTGCGCGCTCCATTGCGCAAGAAGCGGGGCTACGTGACCTGCCCCTATGGCCCATCAGCTCTAAGACCTCTGCTTCTCCACCCGACTCGGGAGCAACAGAGGGGTCTGCTGTGCCCAAAGAAGCGATGTGCGGCTACCCCTTTTGGTCCCAAGCTCACATGCACAGGAATAAAAACTACAAATAATCAGAACAGTAAAAAAAAAAAAAAAATTACCTAATTTAATTCTCAAACTGTTCCCACAATTATCCTACTATTATGCAGGCAACTGCCATTAGAGTTTGCATCCTGTTAATTGCGAAATGCATCTTGTTAATCACAACAAAAATGAACAACTCACAAGAAGGCCAGTAAGCAGTAGATAAGGGAGGATAAGTTAGTAAGTTAACTTTTCCTCAAAAGTTGGACTTTGTCTCTAAGCTATCCAAGTAACAAAAAGTAACAGTGCGAACACAATCTATGCATTCTGGCATTTGTATGTTTCAAATGTTCCATGCAAATTTACCACTCACTGCATGCAAAGAGGGAAAAAAGAAAACCCACCCTCCCAAAAAAAACACTTAAAAACCTACAAACATGACTTAAAGAGGCATTTTATTCTATGCGCTATATACATAAACCCATTTCTAAAAATTAAAAGTTATTGTTCTAGGTATATTTCTATGCAAAATAGTGAAGCGTGAGCACGTAAAGAAAGAGCAGAGCCTCCAGAGGACGGACGCCGTACTAGGCGTCCTTCAGGGGAGGAGGGGAGGCCACCGCCGCTGCCACCCCTGAACCTCAGGAGCGACCCCTGGTGAGCATGTACGTGGGCACGGGTCCCCTCGCTGGAGGAAAAGCGTGGATATGTATCCAGTCTTCAAAGTGAATCAGAGAATAAACCACACAAGTGACAGGTGCCATTTGTGGGAAATAATTGAGCAATTTTGCAAAAATGCATTGTTTCTATGAAATCTGAAAAAAAATCAACATGCCCAAAGACAGATGATTACTTAAGTGATTGCCATTTACACAATGGAATAAAAATCACCAAGATCTGAATCTGGCAGGGAACAGCCTTCCTCACGCATCGCTGGCTGACAAGTGAGTTACAGCCATTAAGTGTAGGATGAAGCCACTTCTATCTCAGTGTTAATAGTCGTGTTCTCTGAATAATGTAACTGAAACAGTTTTTTAAAAATTCTTGTATCTTTCTGCTTCTAATTTATTTTTCCTACAATAAACATGCTACTTGCATATTAACTGCGACTTGCAATGAATAGATATGAATGGAAAAAAATGTTAGTGGTTTTAAAACTTCATGTACATGATTAAATGGCCTCAAGGCTCACTAAACCGCCCATGATTTTTGAAAGATCAGTTATCAAAAATCAAAATACCAAAACACTCTAGCTTATTTTCTAATAAAAACGCCAGGTTGTGTCCTGAGAAGAAAAGAAAAACCCCGTCGCATACACCACGCACGCAGCAGAGTGGGAATATGGAAGAGAAGTGAGGAATCAGGGGACCCGCATTAAGGGACAGCACCGCCCACCCGAACAGCTGTATGATTCCGAACAGGCCCGCTGTCCCATCTGCAAGTTTCCTTTCCGTCCTACATTCAGGTCACGCCATGTCACAGGGAGGTGAGCCAGGCACCACCATCTGTGGAATGCCTGACGACATTCGAGACGCACTGCTCAGCACTCGGACACGGGCTACCGCAGTGCACCGATTCAGATGAGTCGCTTCAGTCCACAGCCAAGGGGACACAGAACTGGAAGATGAAATCACACCCCCAAGCTCACACAGAGGCAGGTGCAGGACAAGAACAGGGGCCCGGGGATCTTCCGGCTCCACCGTTCAAGTCGTGTTTCCACTATACAGTCTGACAGAGGGTGATGCAATTCAAAATAATTCTTAATAGCAGTACTAAGAAGTTGTATGGGGGGGGAAAAAAATCCCATAAATAATGCACAACCGAAAAAAAGTAAAACTGCTTCTGAAAAACCGTAACTTGAATTTCGTGGTTAGGCACGCTGCCTGGCGTCACGCTAGCACACCGCCGCTCTCTGCAGAGTCAGCGCGTCTGTAACGTGTCGCGGACCCACGAACGTGCTACACGCTTTGCAGACCATCCTGACGCGGGACGCCTCCGCCCCCTCAGGGCGGAGCTGCCACTCTGGGGCCAGGCCGCCCACCTTTATGTGCTGGCTCAGCCACTCATGGACTCCGTGACCTTGAACGAGGCCCTTAACCTCTCTGTGCCTTAGTTTCCTCCTCTTTAAGGTGACAGTGTCCATGGGAATGACCCCGGCTGCGGGCAGGTTCAGGGAGTCCATCACATACAGTGCCCGCTAGGCTGCCATCCGGCCCCATCCCCTAACCCTGTGAGTCCGTAGGTTAACCCTCCTTCTGCCAAAGTTCACGGCAGCCACAGAGCAGGTCACGTGTCTGCGTAAGAGATGGGAGCCCAGGCCTGGCTCCAGAACCCGGGCTTTTAATACACCAAGGGGAGCTGAGCTCCCAGTGCGGGAAGAGGGGTCCCTCTCTGACCTGCTTCTCTGCCCCACGACATGGAACAAGCAGCCACAGTCAGGCCTGCAAGGATGCTGTGCCAAAACTTTCCTTTTACCAGTGGAATCAAGCATAGTAAGTGTTTTCTTTCTTTTCTCCTCACTCCAGTGATGCCTTGAATTATCTGCGTAAATTCTGTATCCCTATCAAGTTCAGAGCGTATAAAAGGCCTCGCAGTCGGGAATGTGCACACTAATGATGACCATTTGGCGAGTCACTTGAATGAGGTTAAATTCCTACACAGCAGGAATCACCTAATCTCAGGTCAGGGGCCAAACTGGCCCAGGCCACACCCTCTTTGTAGAGCTACGAGTGGTTTTTACCATTGTAAATGGCTGCAAGAGTCAGAAAAAAGAACATCTTGTGACATGGAAAAAGTATATAAAATGCACATGCCAGCGCGCAAGCCCACGCTCGTACAGGCTCTCTGAGGCTGTTCGCATGCCGCAACAACAGCACTGCGTGGCCCGCAGGGCCCAAAATAGACCCCACCTGGCCCTTCACCGAACGTCCCAAGTCTTAATTTAGAGCCGCGCTCTCGGCCCTCCAGGGACGCTGCCGTGTGACCGCATGGCCTCCCCACGCCGCCCTCCCCCAAGCCCAGGGCCGGCCTGAGGGCAGTTGATGGGGTCACAATATGGGTGTCATGGTTTATAGTTTTAATTTGAGCGCCTCACCTAAAATGTCCTGTGGTGTGCTTGAATGTGGCACTGTCATGCTACAGAATTACATGCTTATGATTTTGTAATAGAAAGGGGTGTTATTTGCGAGGGACCCTGTATAATTAAAGAAACAATGGAAATGGACGGAAGAGAAGAGGAAGAGAGAGAGAGATGTAAAAAAGAAAAGAAATGAGGTTTAGTGGCACCTAATCTGCCCCTTCTAACCAAGCCACCAGGAGAGGAGCTGGGGAGCGCCTTCTGTCATTCCTCACCTCTCACTGACTTGTCTTACTATCCAAAAACAAACAAAGCACTTTGTAATTAGGCTGATTTCCTAAAAAAGGATACTTTTCTCATTGAGTCAGTAATGAGTATCCAGTGAGAGACCCTCTAGGGGAGCCAGTTCTCAAAGTTAAAGCAGACACTTAAAAGTACTTGCACATTTAAAAGACAGTACTTCCCATTTTATATATTTTATTTCTGTGAGTGAATTAGTGATCCAGCCCTACAAATAAACGTGCGACCGAGTAAATCCTATGTGGAAGGCCAGAGCTCCTCCAGGGAGCCTGACAGAGATCGTGTGACCAATGCCTCGGCCTCGGGAGAAGTGCGCCGCTGCCAGCAGCCAGCTCTGCGCGCACCGAGGACGGGCGAACTGCAAGAACGGACTGTGGCAGAGCAACGTCAGCACTGACGGAGGCTCCTGATGCCAGGCCTGCGGGGCCCCCCGTAAAATCCTTTCAACGTGGCTGCGGTCTGACGTCTTCCAAATAAAACCCTGGGGGAAACACTGCTGCTGCACTGCCACTTCTCAAAGAGGTCACCTGGCAAGGGACCTGGTGCCATCCTCGGTGGCAGAAAGGGAACCCCAGGGCCTGGTCACCAAGGGCTCGACGCCACCACTGCTGACATCGAATCCAGTGTCTCGGAGAGTCTAGTGCTTAACAATAACCAAAACCCAATAACAACAACAAAAACAACAGTTATCAGCTGACCATAACTATGCCCAGCAACTCAATCTACCGTCAGGCTGACAAACAATAGAGAAGTATGTTTAACATCCTTGTATCAATG